GAGAAGGAATTCCCTTTTTCCTCTATTACTTTCCTTCTAGTTTGGAAAGTGGAGAATAGAAAAGTCTTTGTCTTCTTATTATTCTCTTCATTTTTCTCAATGAGAATATTTTCTTGCTTTTCCTTTTTATTTACTCCATTTAACTTGAAGGATGATAAAAAGGTGAAAAAGTACTAATATTTTTTAATATCTTCTGTGCATCAGGCATTACTGCCACGATTACCTGATACATATCATTGCCTCCATTTTAATTATGAGGAAAAAGACATTTTAAGAAATTATGTTATCTTCTCAGGTGACTTACTCAAAGTAATTAAAGAATAGAATTTAAGCTTGTCTACTTGGTGTAGAATATAAATGTCTTAACATAATAACTAAGAAAATGCCGTGAAGGCTATGTTAACCAGTTTGATGAAAGCGTTTCAAATTGTATGTAAAACCAGCTCATTGGACCCCATGATTAATTAATGCACACAGCTATGATTTAATAAAAAAAAAAGAATTTAAGCTTGTCAGAGTCTAGACTCTTTCCATAATTACACACTTTCTCTTTTAAGAGTATTGACACTTTCCTTCCTTTAAAATTGTGCTTAACAATGTGAACTAAAATAAGATCTTAAGGCTCCCCCCAGCAGCTGGACCTGACCCCCTCTTGGCTCAGGGGACATCATAAACTAAGTTGCTAGCTGAGAGGAAGTAGATATGACATATCTCCTCACATCCCCCTCACTTCTTAGAGGTGTCCTCTGTGACTCTCCAACAGCCCTAAGTTATGCAAGACATACTTGGGGTCCTCAGTATACATAAAAACCACGTGAGTCTAGGCCTGCATGCATAGTTTGTCTCTCATCGTAACTCAAACATTCCTTTCCCTTGACTGTCTATTAGAAACAGCCTACCTCTTTCAGCCAGTTGTCACTGAAGAATCTTTACATCCACCTATAATGTGTAAATGACCTCCCCCCACACACATCTAAGACAGCTCATCTTTGGGGGCCAAACCAATGT